GGGCGCTACGCCACGCCCCCCACTCCCCGCCCTCGACGGACGGGCAGGTGCGCACCGGCCAATGGGAGACGCGACTGTAGGTGAGGGTGGGAGGGCGGAGACGCGCAGGGGCGGGGCCAAACCTCGGCCAGGAAGTGGGGGGGCGGGCCCCGAACAACACTAACTCCTGGGCAGGGCGGGGCAAAGGGGGGGTCCCAGGGGGGCCGGAAAGACCACCTAGGTCCCCGCGCAGCCCCAAACTCAGCCCTACCCGGGTCCTCGCCGGCCCCTAACCTAGGTGGGGATGCCCGGGGTACTGCAGCTTCCCTCGCCCCCTGGGTCAGCGGCGCCTCTCCCTCAGTTCAGGAAGAGGGGCTGAGTACGCCCGCGGCCCCGGAGCCGGATGGGAATTGTAGTCCTCTCCCTCCCCAGGAAGCCGACCGTGCTTGGCACCCTCCTCAAAAAACAAGTTCGTTTCTGATTTAATTTTATTTGTATGTTACAGCCGACCTGGGAGACAGGTAGGTGAGGCAGGGATGGTTACACCCATTTGGTCGCTGGATACACTGAGACCTGGGGAGAACAAAGATGAATTAGGGGGCTGAGGGTGAGGAAGCCCTGCAGCTAGACCCTGCTTTGGCGCTGGCTGTTAACTCTACGACAGGCTTTTAAAGCCTAGGCGGGAGCAGGGCCTGCAGCCGGCCTGGAACATGAAGGCCAAGGAGAGGTCCAAGCTGGGCTGGAGAAGGTCGGGGGAGGGGAGGGGCTGGCCCTGTCCAGTGTTATTTATGATCTGCCCAGCTGTGTCCAGCTGGACTGGACCAGACGCCATGGGACTGTAGATCTGCCCAAGAAAAGAGCTCAAAGGGTGGGGTTTTTACTAACTTTAGACAATAAATTCTTCCATTAAAAAAAAATCTCTTTGGGAGTTTGCCCCCTCCTTCAGGTGGAGAACTCCTTGAGTCCCGACAGGGTGAGGTTGCCGGCCCTGAGGAGGAGGCGCTCTGTAAGTGTCCGAGAAGCTGAACTGAGCAGCCCTGACAGCCCTGGGGCTCGCCCACGGGCCTCGCATGTGATCCCCTCTGAGACTTGCCCGGGGTCTGTGACATGGGGAAACCGAGATAGGCCGTCTCACCCACATCAGGTGGGGGAAGGGAGTCAGGCTCCAAACCCAAATCTGGGGATCCCGTCACTGCCTCTGTTTCTCCTGGGAAGGGGTTGGGATGTTGTGGTTGGACCCTCGTAGTTCTCACCTGAAGAAGGTCCCTCCTTTTAGGGGCGGGGCAGGGGTAGATCCCACAGGACGGTTCGAGCTTTCGGAGGCCACAGGGGGGCGCCAGAGACCAGAAGAGGGCGGGATGCTCAGGACAGGCCCAAGTTCCCATCTCCCGGGAAGCTAAGAGGGAAAGGCTGCTAGGCGAAATGGGCCATTCCTCACTGCCCCTTTTGGACACGCTGATCCCCCCCACACACCACGGCCCCAAGGGGTCAGCAGTCAAGGACCAACTGGTGAGATCTTTGGGTCCTGGCTCACTCCCTGTGTGACATCGGGCAAGACCCTTACTTAGCTTCTCTGAATTCTGAGTTCTCAGACTAGTCCATCCCCCACCGCCCTTCAGGCTCCATCCTCACATAGTACAGCAGAGGGGAAACTGAGTCCCGGATAGCAAAAACAGACCCACCGAGGTCTGCATGGGGCAGAGCTGGGACTGGTAGTTGGCATTTCCTACCCATCTGGTACTTGTATTTGTTTTGTCGTATCCTGTTTCAAGCCTCGGTTTCCTTATCTCTAAAAAGAGGTCAGCTCCCTGTCTACTCCTTTGCAGGGTCAGAAAGCCCCTCATAACTCAGTCTATACCTGAGCCCTGCTTCAGTCTCAAGCAGCCAGCCCTCCAGCCCTGTAGTCAGAAACAGCTCCTGCACTTGGCCCTACTCTGCCCAGCAGATCTATTCTCTGCTCCTGTGTGAGCCAGATGGCCAGAGACGCACAGGCCTCGCCCCAGAGAGCCTTGTGGGTGGCAGACCCTGGCCCAGCCTGGTG